GAAAAATAGCGTCATTCTAGAGATGTAGATGAAGCATCTTATGTCAACACATGTAACAAAATAGACTTGGTTGCCCGTTGCTTATTGCCTTTCATAAAATCAGCTCTGTGAAAACCCAAATTTTATGAAAGTCATTTGCTGTAAATGGTGGTGTTATGGATACTGACAAGTCCGTAAAAATTCTTTCAATGGAACTGCGCTCCTATCCACCCCGAACCCAATCCAAACGTGTACATATCCTGCGTGCTGTTGTCACGTCCGCATTCCCTACTAAGAAGGGGGAGGATAGGGAGGGGGTACAAGAACAACAGCAAAATTCCACTTGTATAACGCTTTTCACGTCGGGAGGACATCCCAAGCCGCTGGACAATCCATGCTTTGGCCCCGAGCCGGGGGTTAGGATCGGGGATGGTGGAGGGCAGGGGCGGAAGGAGGGTGACCGAAGACACGGTCGAAGAAGACGGTCTGGAGGCGGGTCTTGACGGAGGCAGCGGAGGGACTGTGGGACGGAGTTTCAGAGAGTGGCTGAAGGTCCACCCGGCAATGGTGGAGCGGGCGGGCGAGGCGGGGGGACGTGAAGCAGGCCGGAGACCCTAATGGTGACTGTGCCCTGCAAAGGGTGGCAGAATCCCGCGGCGGGTATGTTTTGATCCCTCCGCCAAAGTTCGCTGCCGCGTTCGCCCACAAATATAGTCAATTCACTTTACAGTGTGTTCTGTGAAGCGCTTTGGGACGTCCTCCCGACGTGAAAAGCGCTATATCAAATGCAAGGATTATTATTATTAAAGTGGAATGCGTAGAGGAAACCTTCCCCTCCCTCACCCCGTCACAAAAACACAGCGGGGCTGAACCCCTGGGCTGGTTTCCTTCCTCCACACACCTCTGTTTGCATAGTGGTGAGTGGGAACCCGTTTGTTTCTGGGGTTAATAATCCCTAAACAAAAACAATAATTTGGTCATTCAATCCATGTCTGTTTAGTTGCTGTGCGAAATTAGCTTCTGTGTTTCGCCCATAAGTATACAGTCAATTCACTTTACAGTATATTCTGCGAAGCCTTTTAAGGCATCTGGAAGATGTGATAGGACACGATATCAAACTCTAGGATTATTATTATATAAAACCATAAGAGCCAAGTGAGATAACATCTTTCTCATTCATTATTTGCTAGCTATTGAAATGAATAATTAACACAGTGATGTGCAGTGTTGTATTCTTCGATTCTTAAGCTTTTGGTGTTTTCATGTCATTGTCAGTTACCAACCTTCATGGAAATCATCAGGGGAGAACGATCGACTAAATGATATTAATGGGCAGTGGTACAGACAAGTTAAATAGCTTTAACCATGCATGTCCAGTGTCACTTTACACCTGAAAACAAGTAATGATTGAAGATTTGCGCATCTTTTGCATGCCAGCTTCGGGTTTGTAGCATCGCATCGTGCTGGGGGCAAATTCAAATAGAAATGCAATAGAAATATAGAAAGGATGCATTCAAATTTCTCTCCCACCAACCCACCACTCCCACCCAGAAACACAAACAAAAACACTGCAGCCAAACAGCCTTGGGGGTGGGAGGGGGGGGAGGGAGGAACACCCAAAAAACCCCACAATTATTGTGGCTGTTTCCTCCACAAATATACAGTCAATTCACTTTACAGTATATTCTGCGAAGCGCTTCGAGATGTTGAGAAGACGTGATAAGGCGCCGTGTCAAATGCAAGGATTATTATTATTATTATTTTATATTTTTAATGCATCATTTCTAACATTTCTATTCGAATTTGCCCCCCAACCCGGGTCCAGATGCGACGCCACAAGACGGCCACAAACTGGGGTGCGTTCGAACGATGGCCGTGACATTTAGAAGAGTTTAAAAAAAATGATAATTTTTTCGGCGGCTCGGGGAGGAGGGGAGGGTTAAAATTGTATTAAAAAAGTTAAAAAGTTAATACATAATTTGTGTAAACATTTCTTTTAAAAAAAACAGAAAATTTTTTTTTGAAAATATAAAAAAATATTTTTTAAAAAAAAATTTGATTAAAAAAATTTAAAAAAAAGGTTTTTAACCCCAATTTCGTTTAAAATCATAATAATTTTTTGATTTTTTAATATATATTTTAAAAATCGTTGCATTTGGTATTAGCGCTTTTCATGTCTTCTCGACGTCTCAAAGCGCTTCACCAAATAACGTCTTTATAATCATAAAAATATTTTTTATAATTTTTATAATCATAAAAATAATTTTTATAATCATAATTTTTATAATCATAAAAATATTTTTTATAAATAATAAATAAAAATATTTTTTACAAATAAATGATAAATAAAAATATTTTTTATAATAAATAAAAACAATTTTTAGAATATAAATAAAAATATTTTTTACAAATAAATAAAAATAATTTTTATAAATAATAAATAAAACTAATTTTATTATAAATAATAAATACAAATATTTTTTATAAATAATAAATAAATAAAAATATTTTTTACAATAAATAAATAAAACTCGCGGCGGCGGTGTGAGAATGTGTGTGTGTGTATCTGTGTGAGTGTGTGTATCTGTGTGTGTGTGTGTATGTGTGTATCTGTGTGTGTGTATCAGTATGTGTGTATCTGTGTGTTGGTGTTGGGGGGTGTGTTGGTGTTGGGGTGTGTGTGTGTGTCTGTGTGTATCTGTGTGTTGGTGTGTGTGTGTGTGTTGGTGTGTGTGTGTGTTGGTGGAGTGTGTGTTGGGGGAGTGTGTGTTGGTGTTGGGGGAGTGTGTGTTGGTGTGTGTATTGGTGTGTGTGTGTGTGTTGGTGCCCCCCCTGCCCCCTCCGCTCCTGGTGTGTGTGTGTGTGTTGGGGTGTGTGTGTGTGTGTTGGTGCCCCCCCCCCTGCCCCTCCCTCCTGATGTGTGTGTGTGTGTGTTGGTGCCCCCTCCCCTCCTGGTGTGTGTGTGTGTGTTGGGGTGTGTGTGTGTGTGTTGGTGCCCCCCCCCTCCTGGTGTGTGTGTGTGTGTGTGTTGGGGTGTGTGTGTGTGTGTGTTGGTGCCCCCCCCCCTCCTGGTGTGTGTGTGTTGGGGGGGGTGTGTTGGTGCCCCCCCCTGTCCCCTCCCCTCCTGGTGTGTGTGTTGGTGTTGGTGCCCCCCCTGCCCCCTCCCCTCCTGGTGAGTGTGTGGGTGAGTGTGTGTTGGTGTGAGTGTGTGGGTGTGTGTTGGTGTGAGTGTGTGTTGGTGTGTGTGGGTGTTTGTGGGTGTGAGTGTGTGTGTGTTGGGGTGTGTGTGTGAGGTGTGTTGGGTTGTGTGTGTGTATGTGAGTGTGTGTGTGTGTTGGTGCCCCCCTCCCTCCCTGGTGTGAGTGTGTTGGTGTGTGGGGTTGGGCTGTGTGTGAGTGTGTGTGTGTGAGTGGTGTTGGTGTGTGTGAGTGTGTGTTGGTGAGTGGTGTTGGGGTGTCCCTTCCCTGGTGTGTGTGTTGGTGTGTGTGAGTGTGTGTGTGTGAGTGGTGTTGGTGTGTGTGAGTGTGTGTTGGTGTGTGTGAGTGGTGTTGGGGGGTCCCCTCCCCTCCTGGTGTGAGTGTGTGTTGGTGTGTGTGTGAGTGTGAGTGGTGTTGGGGGGTCCCCTCCCCTCTTGGTGTGTGAGTGTGTGAGTGTGTGTTGGTGTGTGAGTGTGTGTGTTGGAGTGGGGGGTCCCCTCCCCTCCTGGTGTGAGTGAGTGTGAGTGGTGTTGGTGTGAGTGAGTGTGTTGGGGGGTCCCCTCCCCTCCTGGTGTGAGTGAGTGTGAGTGAGTGAGTGAGTGAATGTGAGTGGGGGGTCCCCTCCCCTCCTGGTGTGAGTGTGAGTGAGTGTGTGAGTGTGTTGGGGGTCCCCTCCCCTCCTGGTGTGAGTGAGTGTGAGTGAGTGAATGTGAGTGGGGGGTCCCCTCCCCTCCTGGTGTGAGTGAGTGTGTGTGAGTGGGGGGTCCCCCCCCTCCCGGTGTGAGTGGTGGTGTTGGTGTGAGAGTGAGTGGTGTTGGTGTGTGTGAGTGAGAGTGAGTGTGAGTGGTGGTGTGTGTGAGTGGTGTTAGTGAGTGTGTGAGTGGGGTCCCCCCCCTCCTGGTGTGTGTGAGTGTGAGTGAGTGAGTGAGTGGGGTCCCCCCCCCCGCCCCCCTCTCCCCCCTCTCGGGGCCGCAGCGCTGTATAAACGGTCTGATTTCCCCGAAATGATGATGCGGCGCAGCACCAATGAGAGCCGCGGTGCGGCCCCGGGGTCGGGGCGGGCGGTCCCGGGGTCGGGGCGGGCGGTCGGGGCTGTGATTGGCCTCGAGCTCTGTGATGGGAGTCGGTGGGGAATCCCGAGTCCTGTTTTGATTTTCTCTCCTCCTCCTCCGCCGCTTCTTTATTAACATTCGGATCCAAACCCCATTCGGAGCCGCACTTCGCCGCCCGTCACCTCCCCGACAGCCCCCGTCCGCCCCTCACCTTTACGCGCCCGCAACGCGCTGCCCCTCACTCCCCGCGCTGCCCCTCACTCCCCGCGCTGCCCCTCACTCCCCGCGCTGCCCCTCACCTGCCCCGCACTGCCCCTCACTCCCCGCCCTGCCCCTCACTCCCCGCGCTGCCCCTCACCTGCCCCCTCACTCCCCGCACTGCCCCTCACTCCCCTCACCTGCCCCTCACTCCCCGCACTGCCCCTCACTCCCCTCACTGCCCTCACTCCCCGCACTGCCCCTCACTCCCTCACCTGCCCCTCACTCCCCGCACTGCCCCTCACTCCCCGCACCTACCCCTCACTCCCCGCACTGCCCCTCACTCCCCTCACCTGCCCCTCACTCCCCGCACTGCCCCTCACTCCCCTCACTGCCCTCACTCCCCGCACTGCCCCTCACTCCCCTCACCTGCCCCTCACTCCCCTCACCTGCCCCTCACTCCCCGCACCTACCCCTCACTCCCCTCACTGCCCTCACTCCCCGCACTGCCCCTCACTCCCCTCACCTGCCCCCCCCCACTCCCCCCACTCCCCGCACTGCCCCTCACCGCCCCCCACTCCCCCCACTCCCCGCACCGCTCCGGTTTCGGACTCTCCTTTTGCGCGTTGGTGGTGTTTCAGGTGTTTCAGGTGTCGGTGCACTTTTTGTGATATAACGCAGGTAATCAATCCCTCCACTTCGCTCCCGTTTCTGTCTCCAACGGCGTCCGTGTCCGTCTCTCTCTCTCTGTGTCTCTGTCTCTCTCTATGTCTCTCTCTCTATGTCTCTCTCTCTCTGAGTCTCTCTCTCTTATTTTTATTTTTTGCTAAATACCATCATTTCCCCCCTGTGTGTATGTGTGTCTCTGTCCCCCCCCCCCCCCCGTGTGTGTGTGTGTGTGTCTCTGTCACCCCCCTGTGTGTGTGCGTGTGTGTGTCTCTGTCCCCCCCACCCATGTGTGTGTGTGTCTCTCTCTCTCTCTGTCTCTCCCCCCCCCCCCCCCCCCCTGTGTGTGTGGTGTGTGTGTATGTATCTCTGTCCCCCCCCCCCTCTGTGTGTGTGTGTGTGTGTGTGTGGTGTGTGTGTGTCTCTCTGTCCCCCCCCCATGTGTGTGTGTCTCTCTGCCCCCCCCCCCCATGTGTGTGTATCTCTCTGTCCCCCCCCCCATGTGTGTGTGTGTCTCTGTCCCCCCCCCCATGTGTGTGCGTGTGAACGCTGCCGACGTCGTTTTTCCCGGTTTTAAATGAAAAACAGCGTGACTTCGCCCGTTAAACTGTCCAAATTAATTGAATCGTCGCGATCGTGAGAATCACTAACTAATAATGAATCCGTCGTGATCCTTTCTTGGCGCTTCCACTCTCGGTGTGTAAAGCGTGTGCTGTCTGTGCGAATGTGAAGCGGTGCAGAAAGTAGTCGGAATGCATTGTTTATTGTTAATTTAAAATATATATAATATACACATATATAGTCTCTGTTAATCAGATGCTAAGATAATGTTCACCGATTATGATTAAAAACATTTTTAGAAACAATAAGACTTTGATAATGTTTGTATTGTTGGCACTTAAGCATTGCATTAAAATGCCAATAACTGAAGTTGTCTAAATTGACAGTAGATTCGGTCTTAAATTGGTTGTGATCTATTCCCATTGATCAGTGGCTTTGGTTAAGTTTGGTTTCCAGAGTCGAAAAGGATTCGAACGACGCTTTCTCTGCATAACACAAGGTTTGGCAGAACATAACATAGCAATCAGGAAGTAGTGTGGAAATAAATTAGGAGGTTGTAATGTGACCAACTCCAGTGTCATTGTAACGTAACAGTTTGCAATCAATACAGTAAAAAAAATTCAAAAAAAATTATATATATATATATATATGTGTATATATTTCAGCAGTGGTTTTGTACGTGTTGGCCGTCGAATCGTATTTAAGACAGGTTTCCGATTGGAAGCCGTAAAGATATGCGCACATTATGCACCGTGTTAGAGCCATTTGTGTGCTGTGGTTACTTGAGACAAACAGCAACAGGAACTGTACATCTAAAGGTTTATAACACGTAAGACGTCTGCAGGCTTGATAGTGTAATGGGTTGCACGGTGTTAGCTTTGCTCCATTAGTTTTGCAGTTTGCACCAGACGCCGAACTTCACAAAGCTGGGCGATTGGATGTAAAAATAATCTTAAATATAAATGTGCATTTCCCACCTTTTGACCGTACTGCGTTTGAGAGAGAGAGAGGGAGAGCGAGAAGAAAAACGGTGTTCCTTCATGTATTTGACAAATAAGACTAAAATTGGATTAGAGTTCACTTTAAACCTTCGGTGTTTTGTACAGTATTTTGGGGGGTATTATTACCCACCGCTTAAGAGTGAGTGAGGTATGTCTCATTATCACACACTGTGTGACACAACACATTAGGAAGTTCCTCCCTCTTCTCCGAAACCTCTGGCTGGATCAGTCCACCTAGTGGTTCGATTCACAAATTGTTTGGTGAAACAACACAGCATCCTGAAGGTGCAAAGGTTAATCCTTCGAACATTGCATTTTAATTTCCATGGTTAAAAAGATATGCGGCAGTGAATTCGAATTACCAGGAGTGCTTGATCGATTTATTCCATAAATCAGGTTTTACAATCAAATATACAGCTCATTCACTCCACAGATGTTTGGGGGAATATTGCTGTATGCAACTGGCTGCCATGTTTTGCTCATAACACACACAGTTAATCCACTTTACAATATATCCTGTGAAGCGCTTCAGGATGTCTCGACCACACTAAAGTTGCTACATCGAATGCAAGGATTATTATTATTATTCTGAATATAATAAGGTGACAATTCTATAAGTGTAAGCCTGGTCAGAGAGTGCTGACAGGTTAATTCAACTGTAGCAGATATCCTATCTTCAGCCTGAGTCCACACACGCATTTCCTTACCAAAGGCGTAACTGATCCCCAGTAAGATTCCTGATTATTTTTCTTTCCTCACCTCATGTGGCTGATGGTAGGCCTGCTCCAGTTGAAATAAGACAACTCAGCGAGACAACTGTACTGTACTGTAATTGTTTGTACAGCTCAGTCCGTGTTGTTGCCGTTACGTATTAAGCCAAACACTTTGTAATTATGTTCGAAAGTTGCATACGGTTATTCAACTACAGTTTACATAATACTTTTTTTTTGCTGTTTCACAGACATCATGCCTGTGGCAAGAATGCGTATGAGACCTTGGTTGGAAATGCAGATAGATTCAAACACAATTCCAGGCTTGGCTTGGCTAAACAAGGTAAATATTTATTGTTTATTTCATCCCAAACCTACAGTAATTTCTATTCTTCACCATGCAGTAATCAAAGATAACTTTAGCGCACCTTTTTTAAAAAAAAAATCATTTCCCAGATATGTTTTTTTGCTTCTGCAGTGGACATGGGGAGGAAGGAACTTTCCTTCTAGCAAAGCTCACAAAGCTTCTACTGTACTTCAATTTGGGAGAAAGCACAGGAGACTTTTGATTCAGGATTGTTCCATGATTTGTGTGAAATGGAGCATTTGAAGATATGGGTGGGGGAGATAATAATCCTTGCATTTGATATAGCGCCTTATCACGTCTTTGAGTCATCTCAAAGTGCTTCAAAGAATCCAGTGTAAAGTGAATTGCCTGTATATTTTGTGGGCGAAACATGGCAGCCAATTGCGCACAGCATTGTCCCCAAACAGTCGTGGATTGAGCAACCAAATTGTTATTAATATTTTGTTAAGGGATTATTACCCCCGAAAAAGCGATCTGCCAATCGACTTAACAACCGGGTTCCTACTCACTGCTGGGAAACAGTGTGAAGTAAGGAAACTTGCCCAAAGTTACGCCCTGCCCGGGAATCGAACACAGGTCCTTTCGCTTGCGAGGCGACTGCTCTAACCACTGAGCTACCGGCCTCCAAAGATGAGCGCTTCCATCATGAGTATTCCGATCATGGGACCTGACTCAATGGAGCAACATCGGGTGAACCACCCGGCCGGAAAGTCAAAATTATTCACACTTGAGAACCAGCATGACTACAATTGTCAAATTGTAACATGTATTTTAGATGTAATAAGCACTGAAAATAATTAAATGGGGTCCTTTAAAAATCCAGGAGGAGAGAATATTCCAAATTCCATGGAAGCATGCTGCACGTCACGGATGGAACTTAGAAACCGACGCAAGTCTTTTCAGAAACTGGGCGGAACATACAGGTAGAGGACACGATTTTTATGTTTGTTAGTGAAGAAATGATGCACTTGCCATACAATCAATACGTACAACTTTACTCGTAAAATGGAAAGTGTGTCAGTAATGTTATATAAGATGATAATAATAATAATTATAAGATAATTACAATCGGATAATTACAATCCGTTGCAATCACTCCTAAATGTTACAACAATATTTACGACAGAGAACCTGTATACAGTGGAAGCTGCTTTACCGGACACCAGTTGACCGTGGATACCGGGTGAAACACTCGGGGGGTCCCAATTCATTTGTGTTCTTACCCGTTTTAAACGCTGGTTAATTCATACAACGGTGCGGTTATTACGGATACAATGCCACCGTCAGTGTCTCGGGCGGCTCCATTCGGCCACTGGTGGCTCCAGGATGTGGATGGGCGGGGTCAAATTGCGATTGACAGCGGACTCCGGCCATTCACTAGTGGCTGGAGTTGGGCTGTCAATCAGTGAAGGAGGGCGGAGGAAGGGGGCAGAATAAGGGCGGGAAATCGCGACTGATTGACAGTCTGCAGTCACTTGTGATTGGCTGGAATGCCCCTCTATTCACAACCGGCTGCCAATCGCCTCTAATCCCGCGGCTAATTGGCCCCCTTCCCGTCCAATGGGGACGGCAATGCTGGGCGGGTAAGTACTGTAGCCAAACACGGGTAAATATATTTTTACTGAATTTTGTGAGTATTTTAACTTTACATTGTTTAGATTACTTCAAGTTGAAACAACATTATTGCACATTATTATACGGTATTATATATATATATATGTATTAGCTCCTCTGCCGGGCGGGAATGGTATTTAAATTTACCTCAGACGCCTCTTAAGTCGGACAAAATGTCCGTCCCCTGATGTGTCCGGCTTAACCAGCTTTCACTGTGTGTATATTTTATATATATATATAATATATATATATATTCAACTTGAAGCAATGTACACTATAGCATGTTTTCCAAATGATGCTATAAAAGGAGTTTGTCTATCCTGGCCAACAATCTCCCAAATAAAAAAAAATTGGTCCATGGCTGTTTGTGAGACATCACTGTGTGCAAATTGGCTACTTTGACACCCCATAAAATACACAGTCACTCCATTATTTTTATTATATCCCGTGAAGCATTTTGGGATGATGTGATGTGAAAGGTTCTGTACCAAATGCAAGGATAACTCTTTTTGTTATTATTTTATTCTTATTATATTGTCGTTATACAGCTCAAATTGTACATCTATATCATACAAATACAACAGCTCAACTAGTTTACAAATATAGTTACTTAAAAGCAATGTGAAAGTGCATTAAAGATTGAAAAATAATTTGGGGATTTACGTTCATTAATAACCACTGCTTTTGGGTTGATAATTCAGTCTAAATACCGCTGCTGAAATACAAGTTTTCTGAATTGCCGCTAAATATTATTCAGCGTGTATGAATTATTCAAAAATATATATTTTATTGTTTTACAGGCAGATTCAGACCAGGAAAAGATTCCCCAGACCCTAAAACATGGAAAGCTAATTTCCGTTGTGCAATGAATTCATTGCCTGATATAGAAGAAGTGAAGGATAAGAGTATCAATAGAGGCTCTGGTGCTATTCGAGTCTACAACATACTGCGTCACCTTGACAAACCAAAACAAAAAGGTACAGCAATTTCCTTGTTCCACTCAAACCTATCCCAGTGTCTTCCCTGTGTCCCTTCCAATGTTTTCTCTTCCTGCCCCCCACATAGTTACTTGGAGTGTTGCTCGGGGCTCTATCTTTGGTCCTTACCTTTCCATTATCTACACACCTTGACACATGATTCGCATGCAGGAAATTCTACTTGTCTGTCTCTACCTTTGACTCTAGGACATCTGCTGACCGGCCATCAAGTCCTCCATGAGCCTTAATTTCGATAACAACCTGCTCAGCCACCTCACTTTTGGCTTCTCATCTTCAGTATTAATTGCTTCTTTCAGTTCATGGAACCAGTGTCCAATCTTGGCATTTTGATTGATCCCCAACTCTTGTTTTAGCCTTTCTTCGCAACGACCAAGTCTCCTTTTTGAAGGAGCCCATCTTTCCCATTCTTGCTAGGCTCCATATTTCTCAGTGAATTGCATTTAGGATCCTCATTCAAATGCCTCTGTCCCTTTTTATCAATACATGACCAATATGGATAAGACAAAGGCAATGCCTCTTGTTTCTCCCTGGTCTCTCGCCCTCTCTCTTTCTGTCTTTAAGTCACAGCTCAAACCCTAACTCCTGCTTATCCCTAGTGCCTCTGCTCCACCATCAGGGGCCAGGCATTCAGCCACTATGCCCCGTCACTCTTCCTCAATATCTCCGCCTTGCCCCCTCCTTCCCCATCTTCATGTCGCGCGCGAAGACCTTCCTCTTTGACCTTGCTTACAATCCCCTCCCCTCTCGCCCCTGCTCAGTGTACTGCTCCGCCACTGTCAAGCACTCTGTGACGCTACCCTGTGTGAGGGGCGCTATATAAAAGCAAGTTGTTGCTGTTTTAAAAATCTTTTTAAAAAGTGACCTCTTTGACTGCTCTTTTGGTCATCTCCCAAATGTGTTTTGGAACAAAATAATAATAATGATCCTTGCGTATAATAATAATCCTTGCATTTGATATAGCGCCTTATAACATCTTCGAGAAGTCTTAAAGTGCCTCACAGAATGTACTGTAAAGTGAATTGACTGTATATTTTGTGGGCAAAATGCAGCAGCCAATTGCGCACAGCAGCGTCCCATGAACAGTAGTGGATTGAATGACCAATTTTTAAAAATGATTTAGGATAAGCACCTTAACATGTCGTTAAGCCATTTCCTTTGTGAAAGGTGCAATGCAAGTACAGTACTTGAAAATGAAATCTCTTGTTTTTTTAACTAGTTTTAATAATCAATGCTGAAATTTGGAAGTTTAAAGATCCATTGTTTTATTTCCCCACAGAAAAATATTCAAAGTCATCCAAAGATTCAAAAAGCAAAAATAGGAAAAAAGTAAGTATACCCTTTTGAATAACTTTACCTTTTGGATTTCAGTTTCTTTTTCTGATTAAATCAATTATTATTTGTGTGTCTGAAAGCTAGATAATTATTTGGGGAGGACATGTTTGCAGGGCTATGGGGAGAGAGTGGGGGAGTGGGATTGAATTGGATAGCTCTTTTCAAAGAGCCGGTACAGACACGATGGGCCGAATGGCCTCCTTCTGTGCTGTACAATTCTATGATGCTAAGCTGGAAGAGGCTTGAAGAGCAGCCTAGTTACAACCCTTTAAGGCATCTTCGAGACGTCTACTGTAAATTGATGGGTGGCTGTGCTTTCAACCACTACGCCTTGCACTCTCTAATGTCTATGCCTTGCCCAGACCTTCCTCTTCGACTACACCTACACTCACCTCCCCCTGACTCTGTGCTAGGCTCCTCCACTGTTAAATGCTCCAGGGGTACTACCCTGTGTGAAGGGTGTTATATGAATGGAAGTTGTTGGTGTTATATTAAAAAAAAGGCTCATGAAATTTAATGGAAAGGTAGTAACATGGATTGGTTAAAGGATGGTAAACAGAGGATGGGAGTACAGAGTTGTTATTCACAATGCAGAGATGTAAAGGGTATTGTTCCAGGGGTCTGTGTGCGGACCACTTTTCTCCATTGATATAAATAACTGGATAAAGGGCACAATTTTAATTAGGGAGTGTAATAAACAAAGAATAATAATAATAATGTAAGCCACTTCTGGTGGCATAGGCAGCTTAGTTGATTGGGCAGAGAAATGGTAAATGAAATTTAATGCAGATAACATGAGGTTATACATAAGGAGAAACATGTGTATAGGTTAGGTGGTAAAATGAGCAGGGAGCCTAAGGAATTATGTACATAAATCTGTAAAGGTGAGAAGGCAGGTGGGTAAAGCTGTCCAGGCTTTATTAATAGGGGTTATAGAGTATAAAACCAATCACTCTAGGACCCAAATCTTAAAGATTTTTAAACACCTTTTTTAAAAAAAAATATCAATTTATTTTTATCTCTTGCAGGAAACAAAGTCAAAGCTCAAAGTAGAAGCGATAGAGCCGACAAAACCAGCAGATCGCAGCTCATTCATTTCACCGAATGATTGTGCTCAACAGGAAATGGTGATTGATAGCACAAATATGGACGGTGAGAAAGCCGAAGGCTGCAATTGACTTTGTTTTTTTTTCTAGACACGGTTGCAAAACTAATGCAACAAAGGAGTATTATTTTAATAGAAATAAGCAAATGTAGATGTGAGAGATTCTATTTCATTCCCCTGTTTCTTTTTCAAAACTCCCACCTACCTCCTTAAGTTGTTTGTTTAACTTGTTTCTTCACTAATGTCACACAAAGTTCCCCGCTGATAGGGAGGGAGAGCCCTTTGCTAGTTTTTCAAGAGGGGTGCAAGGATAGCGGGATGTTGATTCAAGACCCAGTGCTCTTAGAAGTGGGGAAGTATGTTGTCCTGCATCTCAATTCAGTGCCATCTAGAGACATGGAAGGGTGAGAAATCATTCCTATTATTAATTGTAAACACCAGCCCTAACATACCAACAATGTATGTATTTTGACATTCAAGTCATTAGCAGCTTTATTAATCATGGTGGCTGCTGAAATCTTTGAATTGACTTCATCTTAACCATTACGTCAGAGTCAAAGGGATTTTCACTCTTGCGGCCAGTTGATAATGCCATTATTGAGCAAGTTATGCTGTGTTGAAATGATAGTACATCAGTAAGCTGTACTTGTGCATGTCGGAAATTGGTAGTTACTCTTCTCCCTCAGTGGATAAAGACTAAACAACTCAAGCCCTGCCGAGCATTAAACATGTGTCCTCTTGCCTTCAATCCATCAGAATCCAGCACAACAGTGGATGATGACCTGTCTGGGTGGTTTTTTCCAAGTGAAATTATAGCAACGGATGAAGCTCAAGTTGCCAGCACAAGCGATGTGTATCCATTCCAGATTTCTCCATTGCCTTCTCCCGCAGGTTAGTGCAAGAAGCTCTGTTATAATGACCTGCTATGATGGTGAATAAATGCTGCCTATTGTTATATCTGATTAGATATTAGCGTTAAAAACTTGAGAATTAATTGCCGCAGGTTTGAATTTTCAAATGCTTCAAGAAAGTTACCATGAAATCTCAGTCATGAAAACCTGTATAATAATAATCCTTGCATTTGATATATCGCCTTATCACTTCATTGAGACATCTCAAGCACTTCACAGACAATACTGTAAAGTGAATTGGCACAGCAATGTTCCACAAACAGCCATGAAATGAGTGACCAATTTTACTTGCAGGATTTGTTGACCAGGACACCGGGATCTTTAAAGTCCACCTTAAAGGCAGACAGGACCTTGGTTTAGTGTCTCATCTGAAGGATGGCATTAATATGGCTGAGTTGCCAATGCATTTAGCATTAATACTCAACTTCTGCTCACACCAGCTTTCATATCTAATATGAAATCTCAGTGTTTTGCTTGACCCTCATTTTCTTTTAAGCCTTCATGTATATCCCTCATGATCTTTGTCACCTCCAAACTTGACTTGTCCAATGCCGTGTTTGCCTTTGCATCTCTGCCCTCCACACACTCGAGATGGTTTAGAAGTTTGCATTCTCTCCCACACTAGGCTATACAAACCCATCACCCCCATCATCACCAAGCTCTGCTGGCTCCTTATTCCCCAACAGATTGATGTATTAATATCCTCCACAGCATTACCCCACACTAACCCTATGATCTCTTATGGCCGCCATACTTCTGCTCTGCCAATTGAAGCCTGTTTCATATCCTCTGCCCCAACATCAAAGGACAAGCTTTCAGCCAATTTATTCAAACTCTTGGTCCCAAATAAAATTGGTCACTCGCTCCATGACTTTTTGTGGGATATACAAACTGGCTGCCACATTTTGCCCACAAAATACACAGTCAATCCACTTTGCAGTATATGCTGTGAAGCGCTTTACTAGTGGGCATGGAGGAGAGGACACACAAAACAGAAAGCCATTGTCTCATAACTCTGTGGTTAATATTTGCTTGAGTACACTGTCTATATATAGAAAAACAATGCAAAGTCCTAGAATCATGTTGCAAATATCTGTGGATCTCAGCATTCTTATCTCAGCAAGATCAGTGTCAACTTATATAACTTGATAAATAAATGCAGTAAATATTTGTTACAAATATATTAATGAAAAATAAATAAAATACCAGTATCAGATTAAGCTTTACATTAAAACCACATTTTGTTAGCAATGTCTGCAAACCAAAGCTGAAATCTCATCAGTGAAACTTCTCACCCTTCACACCGATGGTAGTGTTCACATCCTCACCCACTAACAACCTCATTTTACTAAACATCAAAAGGTCACTAAGTTTCCTGTTTCCTCTGTCTCTTTCATGAAGCTTTCTCTTGAAACATTAAGAGTGGTTCTAGTAGCTTCTTTTGGGAATTGAGGGAAGATGTGTTTATGCTAAATGTTCTTTGCTTTTTTTCTTTACAGCTGCCAGTGCAGTAGAGAACTTCTTGCCTGACGATATGGTTGAGGTGAGTAGATGGTACTAAATATACTAGATAAAATTGGATTATGCATAATATGTTTGAGTTCAATATGATTTGGGCTCATTTATATGGCTTTCAAGTTTTGGTTGATCAATAAGATATTCTTCCTGAGCACAGTTAGTTACTGTTACGATAATGGGCCTTTTTTAAGGATTCAATCCTTCAAACTACTGGTCTCCAGGCCTAAAGGGTGCATATGCATCTGCTTCCAGACTCCTAGCAATAATAATAATAATAATAATGCTTGCATTTGATAAAGTGCCTTATCACATCATTGGTGCTAACACGGGATTGGGCGAAAGGCAGTGGTTCCTCTGCTTTTCCCTCCTTTTCCGAATGAAAACGCCAGAATCACTTCCAAGCCTCTTCAAAGCAGAATGACTGGGATCCAGAGAAACTGAACAACAAAGTCTGAATCCCATCATTCTTGTGGTAGGAACTCTGATCTCGAGTGTGCAGTGCTTGCATTCTCCCAATATGCATTAAATGGCCCAAAACGTAGAGATGAAAATCAGGTCAAATGATTTCTTAAGAAAGAAGGCAGTTTAAATAGGATGTGTACACTAACATGGATTAACTGAACATGGATTAATACTAACATGGATTATCTGAAAGCAAACCATTTTCAGGCAACATGTTGTCTGTTCAGCACCTTGGGCCGTCTTCCCCAAGTGAAAGGTGTTATATAAATGTAATTTGTTGTTATGGTTGTCGTGAGATCACGGTAGTTTTAAAACAAAACTCCGCATGCTCCCCATACTAATGAATTTCAATCAGTTAGAAATGCTGGCAGTTGAGATGAAACTAAGAACCCATTCTCAAGATGCAGAGTGTTATACTTCAAATTTTGCGATTATTTTTAGATGGCAAATGAACTATTACAGGGACAGGAACATAGTCAATGGGAGCACAGTAACATTGAAGGGAAAGGCTACTTCAGCAACATAGTGGGCACAATGTCACAAACTACCAGCGAATGTGACCTCAAATCCAGCGAGCAGGCAACCAACTCACATCTGGCACTTCAAGATGGCAATTGGACAGACTCGACAGGTACCAATCCCCTCACATTTTTGGACGTCTAATAATTGTCATTCTCTTGGTGAGGAGGGACCCCTCAGCTTCATCTGGTGCAAAATGTTTAACTAAGAACCACTCTGCTCCAACAAATTGACTGATAAAATTCCGACTGCCTTCATTCATTCTCATGACACAAACCAGCCTTCTATACATTTAAGTATATTTTTTGTCTCATTGTATAATAGCTTGGGCTTGAATAAACCTGTTGTAATCTATGTTGTGTTTCTAGTCTATTCACCCACAGACACTCCCATTCACAATAAAACCTGCGATTTGATCAATTTTAAGAAAAAGTCTTAGATGTACAATCTCGTTGATCAACAGATATATTTTGGTATTTTTAAAAAATCAGATTGATTCTTCAATCTAGTGTAACTGCCTTGCATGCTTTTAATAGACTTTGTTTTTTTTTAAAAGCAAAATCTTACAGTGGGAAATGAGGTGACCTTAAATATCATGAAAAATTAACAATTTTTTTAAAAACATTTGTTACAGGTGAATTTGAGCTCAGACTTCATACAGATGTGAAACCAGCAACAGACCTCGTAACCTGGCTTGATTCCGGTACATGGGCTGGATCACTCATCAGTTGCACTTAATTAAAGACTGTCGTCCAACGGAGCAGGAAGCACGATGTACATTTTTTTCCCCACGTTTCATTGGCATGAGGACTTCACTCTTATCCTGTCGGCTTGATTTGCAAGTTTCTGCCCGCTGTTATAAAAATCAGAAAGAATATATTTTTATAGCGGTACTTATTAGCACAATTGACCTCCTGAACAGAGCGAGAACATGCACGGCACAGGGAAACCAAGTTTAGTAAGGCCAGGAATTCTGTTGTTTGTTGAACAAGATATTTTGCTGCTATTTGAATTGAAGTCCTGTCAATTATTTATGTGGTTAGATCATTTGTAGAAATCTTAACAAGGACAGCAATAGCCTATTTGTTTTAAAGTTGCTTCAGTTTGAAAGTTTTCCAATTCTTTCTTTGAGAACTCATTGTAACGCAAAGTTAGTTGTCAATGCGTGGATGTTACCAGCAACAAAGACTGAATCATGCTTTATGTTATTTTGACATTAAGCTCATCTGCAGTCACAATAAATAAAGATGCAAAACTAGATTTTGTTCATAGATATGTTACTCTTTAACGTCAGAGTTAACTTTTCTATGAGGAACAAATCCACTCAAAAATAGCAACATTATTATGATAATTATCAGATTATTAGTTATTTTTATAATCATGCATTACATCTAACACAGAACTTAGGTTACTTTATGTCACACTGTTTCCAACGTAACACAAATTTGCCTTCAAGTAAATGCTTTAGCTAATGAGTCCCTTTAAAAATTTGTATGATATGTTGTAGAGGTGACTATCACATATAATGATTATATCTTGGTTTAGATAGTGGTACCTCAGGTGCATTCTATGCTTTCACCATCTCTGCGTGAATAACAAAAATGTCCACGTGCACCAAGATATTCTTTTATAAAACTTTTTGGTTGTGAATATATTTTATATTTTGTACACTACTAAATAATTTCCTTCTTTGTTTTAATGCTCATTTGATACATAATAAAAATTGTACAAACTATTGTCCAATTCAGTGATTATGAATCAAATTTTTGTATTGTCGGGTAAATTGGATGTTGCTTTCATTGTTTCGATACAGGTTCTTACGCTTGGGCTTCTTCCTCAAGGTAGCTTCAAATAGAAGGTTAAACTCCAAAAACATGCACACTTTCAGGAGACTAGTGGAGGCACGTAGCTTAGTGGTTAGAGCACTCTCCTCCTAAGCGAGAGGACCTGGGTTCGATTCCCAGGCAGGGGGAAAAGTTTGGGCAAGTTTACTTACTCGACACGTCTCTGTTCACTCAACAGTAAGTAGGAACCTGGTTGTTAGTCAATTGGTGGATCACTTTTCCGGGGGTAATCCCTTCAAAAAAATAAAATAATAATAATTTGGTCACTCAATCCACGACTGTTTGTAGGATACCGCTGAGTGCAATTGGCTTCTGCGTTTCATCCACAAAATAGTCAATCCTGTAAAGAGCTGTGAGATGCCTTGACGTGATAAGGCATTATATCAAATGCAAGGATTATTATTATCAATGAAGCTTTAGTCAGGTCAGAGTGCATGAACTTTTAACACCAATACTGAAAATAACAGGAAGGAAGAACATTAGAGTGATAGAACTTGCAAGCATAAATATCGTTTAAGGTATGTATCCAAGTCTCTTCCTCTTATGAAGGAGATGAAAATTGAAAGGTATTACAGAGAGATAAAAATATTGAGTAGAAAGACTGACAACTAACACTGCGAAAGTGGTAAACTTTCAAAGCCAAGGTAAGCAGGGCAGATACCTATAATTAATGAAGGGGAGCTGCTGAAACTGGAGTTCTTTGTATGAGTAGGCAAGGGAGACCTAAAATAAATGTAAAAATAATAATACAAAAGAAAACCAGACAGCAAATAGAAAATATAGAAGCAAATAGATGGCAGAGATACTTAATGAATACTTTGCCTTTTATTTATAGAAGAGAGTGCTAGTCAGGCATTGAGTGACATTGAGGAGATAGATAGATGATCTGACTACAATTTTTCAAACATCCTTGGATACGTAAGTTGTGCCACGAGACTGGGGATAGCTAATGGAATGCATATGCTTAAAAAGTGAGGTTTGGACCAGCCCTAATAATTATAGACCTGTAAGTCTAATGTCCATAGTGGGCAAACTTTTAGAGGCTATAAAAAAGAGATAATATTAATAACCACTTGGAAAGGCACAGGTTGGTTGATTAAAGGCATGGATTTGTTAAAGGCAAGTCTTGCCTGAGAAATGTAAAGTTTTTTTGGTGAAATAACTAAGAAAATAGATAAAAGTAATTCTGTCGATGTACATATGAATTGTCAGAAGACGTTTGATAAGGTGCTACATAAGAGGCTTGTTTAAAAAAAATTGGGGAGCACGGTATTAATGGAAAGTTAGTGATTTGAGAAATTGTTAAAGGATTGGAAACAGAGGGTGTTATTTACAAAGATGTGTAAATAGTGGTATCCCTCAGGGGTCATTGGGTGTTTTGCTGAGCATCTTGGTATGTGGGTATTAGGGTCCTCAATGACTATTGATCAGAGATAGGTCTCCCGTAGTCTCTCCGTCTCCGATATCACCTTCACTCTCAATGTCATCACTGATCACTTCCTCATCTCCCTAAACTCCTTCGTTCCCCCTCCCTGCCACCAAACACACCACCATCTCTTAACGCTCCTGGAACAAAATAATCCCCCACTCCCTCTTCAAGGTGAAACCAGAATTCCTGAACTTCTGCCTCCTAGCCCTCTCCCTGCCTTGACCTTACCTCTTCCGCCACCCTCCAGCACAACTGCTACACCACCATTCTCAACACCCTTGCCCCCATCATATCTCGCACTGCCTTCAATCTCCGCAAGTCCCTCTGGTACAGCAATCATCTCCACTCCCTCAAATCACAGGTACGTGCTTGAAACACAAGACTTAAATCCAGATCTGGCTGGACCAAACAAAAAACTATCGCTCCACCCTCACCTCCTACTTCAGAATCTTTCTGGAGCCCAAGGATAACTTGTGCTGCAGACTCCTAATCTCCACCACAAACCACCTTGTTAGGCCACTTTTCCGAGCCTCCTCATCCTCTCCTCCAATTCCAAATGTGAATAGTTAATGGACTTCCTTGGGTCCAAATTTGCAAGGATCTGCAATTTTGTTGTTGTTGCTGTCTCTGCCACCCCCTTTCCCCTACCCTCTCCTCTTCCGCCAGCCACTCTTCACTCCACACATTTGACCCTGTACCTCCTTCACACCTCTTCTCCCTTATCTCTAGCATAAATTCCACTACCTGCTCCCTTGGCCTTTGAAACTAGAAATGTTAGTATGCCCTTTTTCTTATAGAACTCACCTAACCAGAGGATTTCATACCATGATTGATCCTATGATGTAGGCTCAACAACCTTAACCTGACATGCATCCCTTATATACATGGAAACCTTTCCTAACCCTCCTATTTTGTTTTTGAATCATCTGTATCCTTGTGTGAGAGGTGGGGGGGTGGGGAAACACTGTCACTGCCTTTTATGGTTGTTGGTGCTCAATCTACTTTCAAAGGGAGCAAACAAGGGCTGCATGATTGGAGTTCTAGTGATAAGCCAGGATGTCGATCCAGACTGAAGAGCAATCAAATAAAATAAAATTATAATCCTTGCATTTGATATAGCACTTTTCACGTCTTCTGGAGTCTCAAAGCGCTTCACAGAATATACTGTAAAGTGAATTGACTATATTTATGGGCGAAACGCGGCAGCCAATTGCGCACAGCAGCGTCCCACAAACAGAGTCGTGGATTGAGGTGACCAATTTTTTTTGTTAGAACATACAGTTCTCCAAGGGCGTGGAGTATAGCTTTTAATCTGTTCCTTGACAAACACCACTGTTTGAATTTAAAAATACTCGTTTGGAAATAATTATCCCTCAGTAAGTAAGAAACAGAAGTCCGGAATCTAATTCTGTTTGCACTGCCCAAATAATTAGTGTCTAAGCTTATAACATGACGCTTTTTAATATTAATATTAGTTTCTTATTTTAAATGGCTCTCTCTCTGGATAGTGTGAATGGGATTCAGAATGAGGATTAGTAGCCTGACCCAGACAGATAGATCCAGTGTCTGCTTGAAAGCACAGTGACGGCTTACAACGGTAGACGTTGGTGGCAGCTGCAAATGGAATTGAAACAAAGCCTTTCCTTGTTCCCCCTGCTGACCCCTTAACGACGTCAGGGCAAATCAATAGCAAAAACGACAAAAATTTCAGGACAGAAAATAAAGGTGAAGAAATAGACGCAGAGGTCGGCAAACACGTCTCCCATTTTGCTGTATGTATCCAACGAGCAACTGATGAGGTCTTTACAGGGCGTTAGGGAGAACAGGGGTACAGATAGTTATATCTCGGCAACCAACCACCCCATCATGAGCCACGGAATCCGAGAAAGATAATCCTGAATGTTGGACTTGTGGTCAACAGAGACATCAGAGATTGTAATTTTATGGGTTGCTCATATGTCTGGTTGTGTCTCCCGGCTACTGCACAGCAAGGATTAGAGAAATTCCAGATGATGGTAGATATTAAACGAAGAACGGTTCAGGGTTGGTGGATTCAGAATGTGGCTGTACGCTGGTAGCTGCTGATCTCGTCAGTGCCGCCAAAGTAACCCATGAGCAACTCAATCATATTTCGCCCGCAAGTCGATTCACTTTACAGTATATCTTGGGAAGCGCTTTGAGACGTCTTGAAGACGTGATAAGGCACTATATCAAATGCAAGGATTATTATTATTGGATGCATACATGGAGATGTTAGGCCATACCCAATATACATAGTAAGCTTAGACGTTGGAGAATGTGTGTCAAACCCTAAGTTACATGTTCCATCCTGTGCATTATGTAGTGTTTACAAGAAGAATATTTTGAGTACCTATGCACCAAATACATCTTTTTATGAAAAGCACAGTAGTAAACCCCTAGAATATTATTGCAAAGTGCATTTGGAATGCCTTGCTTTACACTCATTCACTCACGAATGGGCACTTATTGGTACCATTTTTGGTTGTCAGTACCATGTACAACCTAATAAAATGATTAAACCAGAGTGTAAATCTCACAACAGATATAGTATAACTTTGTTTGTATGACACGATAATAGTGACTCAAGGATCCAAAGGTTACAGGTGAAAAAAAAGTTTAATTGCTTTTTCGGGAAAATGAAGCAATCAAATGGCTGTTGTCCAAATGTTATTTATATATGTGTCCTGTGCGAAATTGGCTGCCATGTTTCGCCCACAAAATATACAGTAACAACACTTTATGGTGTACTCCGTGAAGCTCTTTGAGCCGCCTCGAAGGTGTGTTAAGGTGCTATAGCCAATGCAAAGATAATTATTACTATTGTTATATTCATAAATTATATATATTAAATCCACAGTAGAATCCATCCGATATTCTGCAGTGATGCATAATTAGCATTTTAGCAATCATATGTACTTAAAATAAGTCCCAAAACTGGTCAAGCATAAAATCGTATACCTACATTTCTAATAAGGTTAATTTTACTTAATCATATATTGATCTAATGTATACAATCCTAAAAGCAATATCTTCCATGTTAATTTCTGATCTGTACGTGCAACAATTATTTATCTACATTCAAGTGAAAGTCACACATTTTTTATTTTCAACTATTATCTGAGCATCTTAGGCCTATTTTGACCCTTTGCCTACAGTACGTTTTTTCTAGGTGCTGGGGAAATGTGAAAGCATCTGTTCCCTGTGGGGAATCACCTCACCTCCTCTAACATTGCCTCATGTTGCAGACAACATTATACATGTGCTACATTAAGATTTATGGTCTCCAACCTGCATAATCTGCTCTGTAGTAAAACATATTAGAAGTTTTTCAAGTGTAATTTATGGAATTTATCCCCATAATAATAATCCTTGCACTCAATATAGCGCCTTATCACGTCTTCGAGACGTCTCAAAGCGCTTCACAAAATATACTGTAAAGTGGATTGATT